GTAGGAAGGGAAAAATGAAGGGGGGGAAATCGGAGGGGGAGATGAACCATGAGAGACTATGGACTCTGTGAAACAAACTGAGGGTTCTAGAGGGGAGGGGTGTGGGGGGATGGGTTACCCCGGTGCTGGGTATTAAAGAGGGCACGTACTGCATGGAGCACTGGGTGTTAACGAAAACAGTGAAGCGTGGATCACTACATCAAAAACTAATGATGTAATGTATGGTGATTAACGTAACATAATAAAATAAAATTTAAAAAAACAAAAACGAGGTCATCACTCTGTCCAGAAATGTTTTTTATTTAATCTGCAAATTTTCTTTAAAATACTAAATAAATCTTTAGTAGGTCTGTAGTCAGATATACTTCTCACATGCTTTTAATATGCCACAATTGTTTTCTACATAAACAGTCCCTTGTGTTTAAGGATGTGTATTAGCCATGTTCCAAATGACTTAGAAACATTGTAAACTTTTTGCCAGAAATTGGAAGAATGTTTTTCTTGATATATAATGTCAGAAGTAACTGAGTTTCATTATTTTGAAGTTTTATTAGGCACATAAAGTGTGCCCAGTGTTCTTGGCAGATTGTTCCTTTTATCAATATAACTGTCATCCTTTGTTCCATCTGAGGCTTTTTAATGGTTATTTGTCTGATACTGCCTTCTTTTTCCTTTTTCCTGGTATTTGCCTTCTGTAACTTTTTTTACATTCTTTTTGACCTGTCACTTTGTTTTAGGTCATGCCTAATAGGCAGCATAGTTTTTTAATATGCAGATTTAACCTTTAACATTATTGTTATTAACATGTTTAATGATCCTGCTATATGTAAGCTGCTTTTTTGTTTCTTTATCCCCTCCTTCCTACTTTGTATTGATCATTTGATTGATCCTACATTGTATTGATCATTTGCCCCACTTTGGTGTTTATTTTTAGTGGTAAGGAAGTTGTACCACCTCTATTTCTGTTCTTGTGTTCAACTTAAAAGCTAGTTTGGCTAGGTGTGAGATTTAAATTCAAGATAATCTTCATCAGAACTTTAAGTTGTTACTTCACTGGTTTTTTTTTTTTTTTTTTAGTACCTCTTGTTTGTGACATCCTAACACCAGTTTGGTTCTTTTTCCTTTGTGGATCCTCTGTTCTTTCAACCTAAAACCTTTCAGGATTTTTGTTGGGAGATTTCACTGTGATGTGTCTGAAAATGTGTCATTTCAGCTCCAGGAATTTTTCTAATATTTTCTTAAATACACCTTTCTGTGCCTCGCTTTCTAAACTCCAGATAGATAGATGTTGGAACATCTGGATTTATACTCCATGTCATTTAACTTTTCCTCCAGACTTTTCACCTCCCTGTCCTCTGTTTTCACTGCATTCTGGCAGATATCCTTGGCTCTACCTTCTGCTTGTTAATTTGCTCCTCAGTTATGCCCATTCTAATATGCAATCCCAGGCCATTTATTGAGTTTATTGTAATAATCCTTTTTAACTTTCAAGATGTCTAATTGGTACTCTGTAAAAGCCGTCTCTTTCTTTTTTTATTTTATTTTTAGAGGGAGAGGGAGAAAGAGAGTCTTAAGCAGGCTCCACACCCAGCACAGAGCCCAACTTGGGGCTTGATCTCACTACCCTGAGATCATGACCTGAGCCGAAAGCAAGAGTCAGACACTTAACTGACTGAGCCACCCAGGCACCTCAAAAGCAGCCTCTTTTTTAAATGTGATAGCCTCTTATTCCACTGATGTTAAAGTTTCTGTTCGCTTGGTTTATCCTGCTTTTCTCAAATACTAGTTTCTATTTGAGTTGGGTGCCTCTCTCTCATGTTAGCAGTACTCGGCAGTGTGGTTTCTTGAAAGACAGACCAGGTATACCTGTCACTTGTCTCTTGGGTTTAGTTGATCTTCACTCCTTCTGGATGACAGAGCCCTACTCCAATGTGACTTCTGCTTCTCTCAGTGGAGTGGGAGGACTGTTGAGGTTGCCTCAAATGCAGTTTGCCAGCAATCAACTTGATAGTTGCCCTCGTATAGTCCACAGCCACATAAGAGATTCCTGGTTGTCTACTATGGATGTTTTGTGCCAAGAATTTTCATTGTCAAGGTTTTTGGAAGATGATTAAGGCTTTGGACAAATTGAAGAATTTATATTCATCTTTTAATTTATTTGTAGTTTATTTGGTTCTTTTCATCCTCCTACATCCTAGTTTTAAAATATGTTCCTTATTGACACTAGCTGGCTTAAACTGTTTAATATTCTAAACTTAGGAGGTGCCTGGCTGGCTTAGTCTGTAGAGCATGTGGCTCTTGATCTCAGGGGTCATGAATTCAAGCCCCATGTTGGGTGTGGAGCCTACTTTTAAAAAATGTATTAATATATCTGTACTTAGGGGCACGTGGGTGGCTCAGTCGTTAAGTGTGTGCCTTCCGCTCAGGTCATGATCCCAGGGTCCTGGGATCGAGCCCTGCATCGGGCTCCCTGCTCCGCAGGAAGCCTGCTTCTCCCTCTCGCACTCCCCCTGCTTGTGTTCCCTCTCTCGCTGTGTCTCTCTCTGTCAAATAATTAAATACAATCTTTTAAAAAAATAAAAAAAATATATCTGAACTTAGATAAATGCAGTTTCCAACAAATCTTTGCACACTGTACTTTTAAAAAATAACTATAGGGGCACCTGGGTGGCTCAGTCCTTAAGTGTCTGCCCTCGGCTCCGGTCATGATCCTGGGGTCCTGGGATCGAGCCCGACATCGGGATCCCTGCTCTGCGGGAAGCCTGCTTCTCCCTCTCCCACTCCCCCTGCTTGTGTTCCCTCTCTCGCTGTGTCTCCCTCTGTCAAATAAATAAATAAAATCTTAAAAAAAAAATAACTATAGTTGTACTTAGACTAAAGGAGAAGGGGAACAAAGGGTAAATAGAGGGGAAAAGCAGCAAAGAAAAATGAAGCCAGAGTAAGGGATAAAAGAGCAGATAGAAAAAAAGGTTGCTCTTTCATTTTCTGTTTGTGAATGAGATGCCCTCAGCCCTAAGCAACTTGGCTTTCACAGTTCCTATTAAGTTATTTATAAGGGCAGCTACTTTTGCTTTTGCTTTGTCAGTGCTTACTTGTTGAAGACCTATAGGATTCTTTCGTAATCACATGTTTGTTAAAGTTGGATGATGCTGACAAACAAAGTTTTGGGTAAAGACGTGCCACAAAGCTCTTGGACTTAGTAGCTGGAACCTGGATAACTGGAATTGTCTCCAGAATGCTTCCCAAATGTTGACTGAGGTATTCACAGCTTTCTTCAGTGGTAACCACCAACTCTTCCATATTGTACACATGAAGGATGTGCGTTGGGTCCCACAGGAAGATTCTGAGACAAAGATGGGAGTACAAAAAATTTACTGATGAACAAACAACAGATTTGGTATAATAATTATAATTAAAACACTAGCAAAGATTTTCCAGTATCTGTTCTACACTGTTAACAAACAGCCTAAAAGAAAAATAGCAACACAATTACTGGGTATTTACCCCAAAGATAGAAATATAGTGATCCGAAGGGGCACATGCACCCCAATGTTTGTAGCAGCAATATCCACGATAGCCAAACTGTGGAAAGAGCCTAGATGTCCATGAACAGATAAATGGATAAAGAAGATGTGATATATATATACAATGGAATATTATGCAGCCATCAAAAAATGAAATCTTGCCATTTGCAACGACATGGATGGAACTAGAGGGTATTATGCTAAGCAAAATAAGTCAATCAGAGAAAGACAAGTATCATATGATCTCACTGATACGAGGAATTTGAGAAACAAGACAGAGGACCATAGGGGAAGGGAGGGAAAAATGAAACAAGACAAAACCAGAGGGGGAAACAAAACTGGAGGGGGAGACAAACCATAAGAGACTCTTAATCTCAGGAAACAAACTGAGGGTTGCTGGAGTGGAGGGGGGGTGGGAGGGATGGACATTGGGGAGGGTAGGTACTATGGTGAGCACTGTGAATTGTGTAACACTGATGAATCACAGACCTGTACCCCTGAAACAAGTAATACATTATATGTTAATTAAAAAAATTTAAAAAGAAAAATAGCAACACACATGAATAAATGGTTTTCAGAATAAGAAAGCTGCACGGTCAATAAACATGAAAAGATTTTCAGATTCATTAATGAGGAAAATGCAAATCAAAATAATACTGGAATATTAGTTTAGATCATGGTTTTTCAAGGAACTTGGGCACTACTGGCATTTTGGATCTGATAATTCTTTGTGTTGGGGGCTGTTCTGTGCATTGCAGAATGTTTAGCAGCATCCCTGGTGTCTACCCACCAGGTTAACAATAGCAGCTACTCACCCCTGCCTCCTACGGTTGGATGATCAGAAATGTCTCCAGACATTGTGAAATGTGTCCTAACCAGTAAAATCACCCCTGATTGAGAACCCATTAGACTGGCAGAAATTAGCTATCACAACTCTTGCTGGCAGGAATGGCAGGAAAGTGGATCTTTACATTTAAAGTACTATAGCAATTTTTTTGAAATAAAAAATACATAAATTGTGGAATTTAAGAAAGAACACAGATGAACAAATGGGAGGGGGAAAAAGAAAAAAAGAGGGAAACAAGCCATAAGAGATTCTTAAGGATAGAGAACAAACAGGGTTGATGGAGGGACGTTGAGGGGATGATAGGCTAAACGGGTGATGGGTATTAAGGAGGGCTCTTGTGATGAGCACTGGATAGTGTATGTAAGTGTTGAATCACTGAATTCTCCAAAAACCAGTTGCACTGTATGTTAACTAAAATAAAAACTTGAAATATGAAAAAAAATACATAAACCTTTGGCTTAGCAATCCTACTACTGAGACTTCATCCCATGAAGATACTTCTATGAAGCGACTTACCCTATAAACAGCCACTCTACCTCCCCATTTTTCTTCTGTCAGTTTATCACTGTTTAATCACTGATCTGAATCTATTCCTGAGTATTGGTAAGTGTTATTTCCTCTCATTTTAGAACTCTCTTGATAGAGCCCAAGCAGCCAAGAACAAAGGCAACAAATACTTTAAAGCAGGAAAATATGAACAAGCTATTCAGTGCTATACTGAGGCGATCAGTTTGTGCCCTATAGAGAAGAATGCTGACCTTTCCACATTTTATCAAAACAGAGCTGCTGCCTTTGAACAGTTGGTATGTATCTTAGGTGTTTTTTTTCTTCTTTTTGTTTTTTCTATTTGCATAGTGTTTCAGTTAATACCACCCAAATCTAATTAATTTTCTGAACAATTTCAATTGTTTTGAAATTACAGACTTTTTTCATATCCTTTACATAACTTTCTTAACAGATTTTAGTTTTGCTTGTTACAAATATAACTATATATCAGATTTTATAAAATTAGATAATACAGGAAGCTACAGTTTCTGGTGAACCCATCCTTCTCAACAGTTTGAGGCTATTCAACTTTTTGTCTCCTGAGGGGGAGACCACATATTGTAACATATTCTTTCAGTTGCCACTGTATCTTGTGCAGTTTTTATTCGCACATGCATATTTGTCATTCTTTGAAATGCTATATATAGTAGCTGTTGTATAGTGGGATACTGAGAACATCTTCCTGTTGATGAACATTTGGATTGTTTTCTATTTTACCTATTGCATTCAATGTTTGAGTAAATGTTTTCATAAGTATTTTTTTGCATACTTTTGGGAGGATAAAATTCAAGAAATGGAAATATAAAGAAATTGTATCAATACCTACTCCAAACAATAATATATGAACATGCTTGTTTTCTATCGTTCTCACTGACTTACATTATCAGTCTTAATAATATTTGCCATTCTGGTAGGAGAAAAATACTGTCTCTCGTTTTAATTTACACTTAAGATGTTGCTAAAGTTGACCATCCTTTTCTGTGGTTATTGGGCAATTGTATTCTCCGCATTTATTTGTTCAAATTTTATGGACCATCTCCTATACAGAAGGTTATTATAGTACGAGCTGGGTTTATAAAAGCAAAAGTTATGCATAGAGTTCAAGGATAACTAAACAATGAACCACTAAATGACATTTTCATAAATGCCTTAAAGAATTAACCTGATCTATAATAGAGGAATGACTGGAGGTGGAGTTGGTACATAAAACAGTAGAGAAGATGGTGTTAAAAATAGAGGAAACCGTATGTGTAATTGATCTGAGGCAGGAAAAGAGTTTGGTGTGATTATAAAGGATCCTGGAGTATAGAGATTCAACTGGAGAGGTAGCAGAGGGCAGATGAGACAAAGCCTTGCAAAGGTAAGGAAATTGGATTTGAATCTGGTTGTAATGGGAAATACTTAAGGATATTAAGTAGGGCAGGAACATCCTCTAAAATTGCTTTCAGTGTTCTGTCAAGAATATATTAAAGAGAGGCAAGAGTGGAGACAGGGAGACCAAATAAGGATGCTGTTGTAGTAGCCTAGGTAAAACATGAAAGAAAGCTGAGACCAACAACTTGCTGTTGTATTGGATGTGAAGGATAAAGAAAAGCAGGAATGTTAATGGTAGAATGGGCAAGGAGTGAGACAGCTAAGTAGAAGTTGAATTAGAAATGTCTCTATTTTAAGGAGAGTGGTTTGGGCTAAAGAGACAAATCTGAGAGCCATCGAATTTTAGATTTTGTATAATGCCAGGACAATAGATGTAATCACCTAGGGAGAAAGAGGAGAGATGAGGCCGAGAGTGTTCCACTTGTAGGACTCAGGTGGAGGGGAAGAATTTAAGCAAAGGAAATTGAGAAGGAGCCCACATTGAGGTAGGCAGAAATCAAGTAGAGTGGCTGTTCTTTGGAGGTTTCACAATAAAGAGGAGCTGAGAAATGGGGTAGTAGCTGCAAGGAATTATGGAATCAAAGGAGGATTTTTTAAAAGTTGGAAAATTAACTAGAATGAGTGTTTTTATGCTCATGGGAATGCTTCAGTAGAGATGTAGGTTGATGCAGAGGAGAAATAGCTAAGAGTGAAGTCCTTGAAGTGGGGACAGTATGGATCCAGATCATAAGTAGAGGGGTAGCCTTTGATGAAGAGGGGCACTTCCTCATTTTTAACAGCAGAGAAGGAAATGATATGAGCACAGAGATGCAGGTAGGTTTGTAGATTTTGTGGTAGAAAGATCACCTAAGTAGGTACTTTGCCTGTTTTTGAAAATCAGGTTGCTTTTCTTTATTACAGGTATTTATATCAGCTGTTATAATATATTGTGGATATTAACTCTTTATGTATTGGGAATATTTTTGTGTGTTATGGGACTCTTAATACTCAGCCTCTTAAGTTTCCAAAATTGATTTCTCTTGAACAGTGCTTCCTTTAGTGTGACTTTTTTTAATACTTTCAATTACAGCAAAAATGGAAAGAGGTGGCACAAGATTGTACAAAGGCTGTTGAACTTAATCCCAAATATGTGAAAGCTCTCTTTAGACGTGCAAAAGCCCACGAGAAGCTAGACAATAAGAAGGAATGTTTAGAAGGTGAGGGTATTTTTGTGTTTACATGTGAAAATTACTAAAGGCTTTGTAGTCATTGGTAAATTTATATGAAACTCTGCTTGTGAGTAGAGAAATCACTTGTATTTAAAAGTTAGATTCTTCCCCACCTGAGAATTTGTTTTCTAGTGTAAATTGAGATTGCTGATACTTAAGTATTGTCTCTCTTCTCAGTTATGGAATTAAGTTAGTATTAAGATTTGAAGTTTACATCCCATACATTTTTAACTTGGCAATTAATGAGCCTCAGTGTAATTCCATGAATAAGATACCAGAAAATAGGTTTTAGGTAAGTGATAGTGTTGCTAAGAATCTACATATTTTCAGTGATTATCCTAAATAAATATGAAATAATTTTGAGATGAATCATTAAAGAAAACATTTGGTTTTTGCTCTTGATATTTTCAAACATGATTTTATACCCGATTGGAAATTGTGTAGTAGTTGGTACAAAGCATCAAGTGAATTTGCCATTCTCAGTAAATACTGCAAATATTCTGCGGTCTCTAATTGGCCATATTTGCTTCCAAAACTTCAATTAGAATATATAGGCCATTGGCTTTTAAAGTACGTTTTTGTAGGTGACATGGGGCTAAACCAAAGTGTGATTTAGACAAGCTAATTCTGCTAAAATCAATAATCAGATTTTGCCATAATTATTTTTTTAAGTAACATTATTTAAAAGGAAAAAACCATTTTATTTTTAAAATCTGGATTACCAAGTGAGGATGGTTTAGAGAATGTTTTAGAAAAATTTGAAGTTTTGTTGTGTCGTGTACTTTGGTTGTGGGCGGAAGGATGGTTGCTTTGGAAAAGAGAATTCTGAGTTTTCAGCCAGCACTTGAAGTTACTAACAGTTAATAATTGGTAGAAAGGAGGTTAAGTGGATTTTAGGTAGGAGGAATGGGATGGGGAAAAGACATTGATATTGGCATTAGCCAGGTTATCAGAGGAACACACAGCCAATTGACTTGTTTGGAGGGTTTGGAATTTTCAGAAACTGAATTCAGAAAGAGTGGGAACAGCTAGTGTTTGAGTATTCTGAAAGGTTGAGAGTTTAAGGAACCACTGATCTTTTAAATGTGAAACCACCTTATTTTGAGCTGTGGCATAACCAGATGAAAATGGTATTTTGCAGCAGATTTAATTGAGAACTCTTGGTCAGATGGCTTTGGACACAAGGAATAACTCTGAGGCCTATAAAAAGAATCAGACATGAGAGAGCCACATTTCACTGATTTGGCCTCTAGGTACTGGCCAGAAGAGAATCTTCCTGGATTCCTTGTTTATTTACTATGTAGAATGTGAGAGTGGTGAGAAACATCACAAACCATGCAGTATAGTCCCTTGGATTTCACAGGTGAGGAAAGCGAATAACCAGAGAAGTGGAATTTCTGAGCTTTGAGTTTGGTTATAGAGTATATAAAACTAAATGTTGAACAGAATCAATTTATTGGAAATAAAATTGATAGCTACATCAGGCTATCAGTTTGGTTTGGCTTTCTGTGGTAATATTGTGCCCATTTGATGCTGCTGATCATCTTTGCAATAATTTTATACTTTTATTTTTTCCATCATTTCTAGATGTCACTGCTGTGTGTATACTAGAAGGGTTCCAAAATCAACAAAGCATGCTGTTAGCTGATAAGGTTCTTAAACTTCTTGGAAAAGAGAAAGCCAAAGAAAAATACAAGGTAAGTCTGAGTTGGTCGATAGAGGGAGTATACATTATGAAGGGTCATTTTTAATTTACACTGCTTAAACTTGGATATGATAGTAATGGTAACTGAAATTAGATCTGGATTATATTCTTTTCCTGTGATCTTGGGCTTTTGTGGCTTATCTTTTCAAAATAAGAATGTAGGCTATATCCAGTATGGTATCTGGAGGATACTGAAAGAATTCATCTATATTAGGGGTCACCAAACAAGGCCTATGGGCCACATCCAGTCTGCCACCTGTTTGTTTAAGTAATGTTTTACTGGAACACTGCCCTCAGACATTGTTTTTAAAAAGGCTGCTTTTTAAGCTAAAACAGCAGAGTGGAGTGGTTGTGACAGGGACTGTATGGCCTGCAAAGCCTAAAATACTTACTTTCTGGTCTTTTACAGGAAAAATTTGCCAACTCCTGTCTATATCATTAAAGTTTTTAAAGATATAATATATAAATTGGCACTGGTTTTAGGCAGTCTGTAACAGATGACTTAATTCAAGAAACATTTATTGAACAAAGCAATTTTAGAAGGGTGGGTAGATATGGTCCTTGCCTTTACAGAATTACAATTTAGTGAGAGAGACCATTAATAAGTGTAAAAGTCATGATATGGTGAAGTGTCATGGAGGGATATAGTAGATGCCATGGGACTACCACAGGCATCATTAAATTTCACTGGAGATTTTTTGCTAAACTTCAGTAATGTCGAGTTAATTGTTCCTTTTTTCTTTAAGAATAACTTTTCTCTTAAATTGATTTTAATAAGCTGTATGTTTTTTTAATTTTGCACTCCTGAATATTCACTGAGTTAAACAGTTAAAACGGGTTTCTTCACTGCAGGACTTTGATGTGCTAGGATATATTGTGAATCTCCAAGAGGAATGTAGCTGTAGTTGTTCTCAGTCTCTTTAAACTCTGGAACCCTTTTTTCCCTTGATCATTTCCTAGAACAGGGGTTCCTCAAAACACTGTAAGTACCATGTAATAGTCTCACAACCTCAAAGGAGCCTCGTTTCCTTGTGTATATTTATATAATGTTATTGTTGAGTGATTATACTGGTTGGACTTCTGGGGTCGTAAGAAAAATATAAGATAACCTACATTTACATAGGTTCCAAATCAGTTTCCACTTATATTTTCTTTTTTTTTTTTTTAAGTTTTTATTTGTTTAAGTAATCTCTTCACCCAACATGGGGCTCGAACTCACAACCCCAATCAGGAGTCATATGCTCTTCCAACTGAGCCAGCCACATGCCTCTCCACTTATATTTTCTAATCTGTTTGTATGCCACTTTTGTGGCACAAAATCACAAAAGACTTTTTTACATTATTGTTTTTATTTTTACAACAACCCTGTAAGATAAATAAGGCAAGTATTTTTATTGCCATTTCGGAGATGAGAAAATGGAAAATGACGTGTACAAGGTCACATGGCTAATAAATGGCAGAGCTAGAATTTGTGTCTTGTTCCTTTGATACTTAAGTCCATTACTTATATTGTTTTCATTTTAAATTTGTAATTCTTTGTGGAAGGCTGGGAGGTGCCTTTTCGAAGCTGAAATAGTAAACTAAAAGACATTAATGATTTACTTATCCTTCAGTGACTGCTATTTAAAGTGGCAAATGATTGCCACTGTATATTCCTATGCAGAGTCTTCAGTGAAATACTGAAGTTAAGCAGACTTTTCACTTGATGGGTGACCATTTGATTTAAAATATTAACTTGTATAATCCTAAATTAATACATTGAATCTCTTCCAAAAAAATACAGGTTTCCCCTTAGATTTCCTGTTGTTGTCTTCTTTCCCAATCTCATCTATCCTAGATTAGGTCATTTACTTACAAAGCCAAATTCCCTTTTTTCCCCCCTCCTTCCAATACAAAGGCATTAAATCTATCAAAATAACAGAAATGGTATTTGTTGCGCATACAATCTAAAATATCATATTTCAATTTAAAAATCTTTTGGTTAAATTTTTAAGCTAAAGGATCCAAAATATATGGTAAGAGCCTTATGGCCGTGTTATTCCCTCTACCTTCTTTAAAACTTTATCCTAATCAGACTAAAAGGAGAAATAAAATACTTCTATAATTATGAATCAGGTTGCCATGTCAAAAGTGGTAATTTAAATAAGAAATGTGATTTCATTCAGACTTTCAGTGGCACTTACTATCATGGAGATCTTCAGATGCAGTACCATTAGAGGACAGATGAAAGCCTGTGGTAAATGGACTTAACATTACAGCACCTGTGTAAGATGTGGTCTTGAATGGTTAATTAAGATGCTGATCTTCTAGGACAGAGACCAGCAGGAGATAATTTTTATTTTTTTATTACATTTTTATTTTTAAGATCTGATTTTTAAGTAATCTCTGCACCCAGTGTGGAACTCAAACTTACAACCCCAAGACCAAGAGTTACACACTGTACTGGCTGAGCCAGCCAGGCGCACCAGAAGGAGATAATTTTTAACTCATTAGCTATTTGCCTCCTGTGTTACACATTTCACCTTTTTAACTTTTAGTGAGTAGTCCTAGGGGTTCTTGATACGTTACATCTTTGGAGAGGGGAAGTGTCGTTTAATATTTATTTATTTATTTATTTATTTATTTATTTATTTATTTATTTATTTGAGAGCTTGAGTGCACGTGTGTGTGTGTGTTGGGGGGGCGGGCAGAGGGAGAAGGAAAGAGAGTCTTAAGCAGACTCTACGCTCAGCCCAGAGCCCGATGTGGGGCTCGATCTCATGACCCTGCGATTATGACCTGAGCCAAAACCAAGAGTCAGATGCCTAGCCAACTGCACTACCCAGGAGTCCCAGGGAGGTGTCATTTAAAGCCTGCTTTGAACAGCTGGGATGGGTAACTCTACCTATTCCACAATCTCTTGTCCTGTCCTGTGGTTTGGAGCCTAATATTCTTCAGTTAAGTTTGAGAATGAGATTCCAGTTTTTACAGCAGTCATTCTCACTGTTGTACTAATGTACCTGCTTCTTTGGTCAGTGTTTTCTCATTTTGATATATTTAAACATGATTAAATTTCAGAATCGTGAACCTCTGATGCCATCTCCACAGTTTATCAAATCTTACTTCAGCTCTTTCACGGATGATATAATTTCTCAGCCCATGCTTAAAGGAGAGAAGTCTGATGAAGATAAAGACAAAGAAGGAGAGGCTTCAGAAGTTAAAGAAAAGTAAGTGTATCAAGCATAGTATCTGTATAGTCCTACATGATATTCTCAAGAGGATTCCCAGTGAGTAGAGTGGTTGACTATATTGGAACAGGGGCACTAACTTGAAAAGTATCATGTAGCTCAACATCCAAATGTTTTAGTGCAGGGAGGTTTATAAACTATGAGGTGCTTAGGAGTGCCCTGAAGAGTGACTTTCTTTGGAGTTTTTTCTTTGTTTTCTGCTTGCCCACCCATTCTTTGGGCTTCTTGTGTTTGCTTCTATAGAGAATTGAAACCAAAGTACAAAATGCTGTGTTTACAACTGGAGATCAAGTGATGTGATGTGGTATATAAGTCACCTAATCTGCTTATCCATTTATATTGTGTTTTGGTATTAAAACTAGCTCTCCTTTCTAAGAGAAGGTTCACTATTACTACCAACATGCCATCTTTTAATGAGTTCTGGAAAAATGGGAGTATTGTTCCTGTAGCAAAGCATAGATTTGCATCTATAGCATATTGGAAAGTTTGAGGAAACACTGCTTTTGATTTGTATCTCCTAATTTTTCAACCATTGTTGGCCACCTTTTAAGGGAAGATACTATGCATAATTGTACCAACATATTCAAATTTTAGTTAGTTGATACACAGTCTTTTCAGAAAATGTAGTTGAGAAGTAAATGTTTAAGATAATGCCAATAATTTCCTCTTCAGGTTAGGGAATAGTCCTTGCTAGAAAATCTACAATGAAGTTAAAATGCAGGGAATATTAGAATGTAATTATTAATTAAGATAAATTAAGAGAGTTCACAAGATTTTGACTGATACAGCCTAAGTTACTTGCCAGTTTTCTGTACTCAGGATATATAACAAATGAAATGAGAAAATATATCCTAACTTATGCAGCCTTGTATTTGTAAGACCCCTTAGAGGTTAGCTAGTATAAATTTCCTTTTCAGGTCAAAAAAAATCCCTTCTACAAGCATCCTCAATAAAAGTTATCATCTTATAAGAATAATGATGTTGTGGCCACTGTATTTTAAAAAGTAGGAAAGGGTGTGTTTTTTTAATGCCCCCTCTTAATAGAAGAATCTTCCTTTAAATTTGCTTCTTTGATATTTCCACCTCTTCATTCTAGGTCTGTTTATTTAGGTGAAACAGCTTCTGGATGAGAGCCCTTCAGATAATTCTGTGCCTCCAGTCTTGCTCTTCTGTAGTGCGTTTTCCACAACATAGAGTGTTCTTTACCAAGTACAGATTGGGTCATGTCTCTTCCCTTGGCTTCTGTCACCTAAACTTAATTATCTCTTCTCTTCTCTTTCTGTTGATCATAAAATAACTATTGAGTGACATCAGTGTGCCATATGTATGAAGGTGAATAAGACCAGATCCTTGTCCATGTTGCAGATCAGTCAGTCATTAGCTCATCTTTTATCACATATAAATGCCAAAGCCTGGGCAGTAACCCTAGGTTTCTGCTGTTGACTCTGTTAACCTTTTTCCAAGACATCAAGAAAAATTCCAGTCCTACACTGGAATGTTAAGGGGAAGTGGACAGTTGCTTAACTCTAGTAATACTAAGTGTGGCAAGTTTCAGCATTTGATCCTTTCATAGTAAATAATTTCCTATGTTCATTTTTATTTTCAGTTCTGGATATTTAAGGGCCAAACAGTATATGGAAGAAGAAAACTATGACAAAATAATAAGTGAATGCTCAAAAGAAATAGATGCTCAAGGCAAATACATGGCAGAAGCATTATTACTACGAGCCACCTTTTACCTGCTTATTGGCAATGCCACTGCGGCCAAACCAGATTTAGATAAGGTCATCAGTTTGAAAGAAGCTAATGTGAAGGTACATTTTAAAATGTGTGTGGGGGGGGCGCCTGGGTGGCTCAGTTGGTTAAGCGACTGCCTTCGGCTCAAGTCATGATCCTGGAGTCCTGGGATCGAGTCCCGCATCGGGCTCCCTGCTCAGCAGGGATTCTGCTTCTCCCTCTGGCCCTCCCCCCTCTCGTGCTCTCTATCTCGTTCTCTCAAATAAATAAAATCTTTAAAAAAATAAAAAAATAAAATGTGTGTGTGTGTGTGTGTGTGAAAAGAATTAATTAAAAAAATGGGGCTTGTATTACAGGTTTTGCCAAGTTTTTCACATTGCAGCTGCCATTTTCCAAAAGGCTGTTTTTATTTTGGAAGCAACTACACCTAATGATGATTTGGTGCGGTGAAAAATGTAAATATCAGTGATGTTTATCTTTAGGCAGAAAAGGAATTTTTGTCTTTTTTCTATGGCATCTGGTAACTTCAGCTTCCTTTTAAAGCCACTGCCTACTGTATTAGACTATATTTAGATCAGGGGAAGGGTGATACAGCAATGCTATAGGTAGTACTGTAAATAACATGCAATAGGTAGTAGATAAAATACATTTAATAAAATAAACACATTTAATAATCTGAAAGATTCTATGTTACATGAATTAAAAAAATGGGTTCTAAAAATATGATATAGAGATATACTGAAATATACCAAAAGTTTCTATAGTTGTGTGGGTGGAACAGCTTTTTAGGTGTACATAATTATTTTCATAATTAAGATTTAGGGGGATCTGAATTATATGCGCCTTCTACTCAGTGTTTTAATAAGACAGAGCTTAGCTACCAATTAACTTACTAGTTAACATTGTGATTTTGGTTTTCGTTTCCCTATGGCTAATGATGCTGAACATCTTTTCATATTCTTATTGGCCATTTGTATATATTTTTCGGAGAAAGTCTATTCAGATCTTTGACCTATTTTTAAATTGGGTTCTCTTGTTGAGTTCTGTATATATCCTGGATAAAAGCACCTTATCGGATAGATGATTTGTATGCCTTACTAGTTAATATCTCTGTGGCCTGTTTCCTCACTGAATTAAGTGAATTCCGGCTTATTTCACCTCCAAATGAATCATTCATGTATTTTGTGGAAAAGTTGTTTTCAAGGCCTAAGTATTTGTTAATAAACTACCTTAACCTCTTGTAAACAAAAGGCGTTATGACTGTTCGTTAAAAGTTCCTTTCAAAATGAGGTTTTCAAATTGAAGATACACTCGTAATACGATTTTTAATTTTATTTCCTACTAATTACAAATATGTTCTGTTTTTATAATTGTGGGGGCATTCTTATTTGTTTCATTGAAAGAAAATTTATGTGTACTTTTGCTCAAAAAAATTTTTTGGAGAAGAAACCTATTTCTTGTTTTCATGACCATGACTTTTTGTTTTAATGGCAAGTAATAATGATGACTGTCATATGCCCTGTACAAAAATTAACTCAAAATGGATTAGAAACCTAAATGTAAAAGTTCCAACTATAAAACTCTTGGAAGAAAACCTAGAAGGAAATCTTCTTTACCTTGGATTAGGCAATGATACTTTAGATATGGCAACAGTACGAAAATCATCAAAACTAAAAACGTTTGTAATTAAAAGGACACCATCCAGAAAGAGAAGCCACACTCTACAGAATGGGAGAAGATATTCACAAATCATGTATCCGATAAGGTGCTTTTATCCAGGATATATACAGAACTCAACAATAGAACCCAATTTAAAAATAGGTCAAAAATCTGAATAGACTTTCTCCGAAGAATATATACAAATGGCCAATAAGAATATGAAAAGATGTTCAGCATCATTAACCGTAGGGAAATGAAAACCAAAATCACAATGAGGTATCACTTTATACCCACCAAGATGGCTATAATCATAAAGATGGACAATTAAAAGTATTGGTGAGGATATGGAGAAATTGGAACTCTCACATATTACTGGTAGAAATGTAAAATGATAAAGTCCCTTTGGAAATTAGTTTGGGAGTTCCTCAAAAAGTTAAATATATTGAGTTACCCTATGACCCAGCAGTTCCCCTCTAAAGTATATAAAGTATATACCCAAGAGAACTGAATATATATATCAGGACAAAAACTTGTACATGAATGTTCATAGCAGTGTTATTCATAATAGCCAAAAAGTGGAAGCAACTCAGATGTTCCTCAACTGATGAACAGATAAATTGTGGTATATCTGTACAATAGAATGATTATTCAGCCATAGTGAAGAATGAAGTATTGACACATGGTATGACATAGATGAACCTTGAAAACCTTATGTTAAATGAAGCTAGACACAAAAAGGCCACATGTCCAGTTCCATTTCTGTGAAAAGTTCAGAACATACAAATCTGTAGAAATAGAAAGTACATTGATGGTTTCCAGGGCCTGGATTAGGGAGGAAATGGGAAATGACTGCTAATGTGTATGAGGTTTCCTTTGGGGGTGATGGAAATGTTTGGAATTAGTGGTGATGGTTGCACAGTTCTGTGAATATATTAAAAATGACTTGTACACTTTTAAAGGATGAGCTTTTGGTGTGTGAATTAAACTTCAATAAAGCTGTTATTTTTTTTAAAAAAACAATTCTAGTCATGACAAACCTTTTCTCATTTTGGTTCTGTAGCTTCGAGCAAATGCTCTCATCAAAAGAGGCAGTATGTACATGCAGCAGCAGCAGCCTCTGCTGTCTACTCAGGATTTTAACATGGCTGCCGACATTGACCCTCAGAATGCAGATGTTTATCACCACCGAGGACAGGTAAATTTATTTTCTTATCAAGAGTTCTGACCTTTGGATTGAGGAATATGGTACTAATTTTTGAGAATGTTGTCACAGGTTTCTTTGTATCACTTCTGATAGCTGTGAACAAAGTATAGTTTTATAGTTTGGTTGGCATTTATTCAGTCCCATCTTAAATATTTGTCCTTTGAGTTTTGGTATTTGCTGATTAAAAAAAAAAGGAGAAAGAAGCCTACAAATGTTGGCCTGCCTGTTCAAGTTTGGTTTTCAGGTGTTTTCTGGCTCCTAGGTTTTCAGTGACATTGAAACATATATTGGACATTTTAAGTTAATGCTAGAATCAACAGGGTGATTTCTGTGGGCTTCTTGGTGTAAGGAAATTTTGTCCTGGACTATCCAAATAGTACCAAAAAAATCTCTTCTGAATGGAGTTTTCTAATATGCATATTTGATTTTTAGTAAAGAGATGTAGTGATGAAAGCCATTCCGTATCAGCCTCATCTAGGGAACACATGGCTTTATTATCTGTTGAACATGGATGGCTTCTTGAAATGCATTAGGGTGGAATGTATAGGCTATCCATAGAATAACAGAAAAGCAGCTGCCTTCGGCTCAGGTCATGATCCCAGGATCCTGGGATCGAGTCCCATATCAGGCTCCCTGCTCAGTGGGGAGTCTGCTTCTTCCTCTGCCCCTCCCCCCCATGCTCCCTGTGTCTCTCAAATAAAAAAATCTCTAAAAAAAAGAAAGGTAATTACTGATGTTTGATCCGCTTTGAAATTTTTAAAGTACAGAGATGTTCAGTTTTCTAGAACAGGTTTCTTGCTTAAGAGTGACCAAAACTGCAGTACAAAAATGGTGGGTTTCTAATGGGAGTTTTTGGTTTTTTTGGTAGACAGCAAAGTGAGGTTTATTGAGCGATAGCAAAGTGATCCTACAAAGCTCCCGAGGAGGGAGGGGACCCAAGAAGGTTGCCCTCTAATAGTGCTTTAGAAAAAATTGGTTAATAGTTTTAGAATCTTTATTTTATTTTATTTTTAAAGATTTTTATTTACTCATTTGACAGAGAGCGAGCGAGCACAAGTACGCAGAGTGGTAGGCAGAGGGAGAGGGAGAAGCAGGCTCTCCGCCGAGCAGGGAGCTGGACGCTGGATCCCAGGACCCCAGGATCATAACCTGAGCTGAAGGCAGCCGCTTAACCAACTGAGCCACCCAGGCGCCCCTAGAATCTTTCCTTTAAATGATAAGATTTTCTAGTTCACTGTTTCTAGAAAGTAATTCTATATTGAATACTACATGCATAGCATGATGCTAAACTGTGGTAAGAGACACTGTACTTAACCGGTGCACCTATTATTTTGAATTGTGTATATTTGTGTGTGTGTGTGTGTGTGTGTGTGTGTGTGTGTGTGTTTTTGTTTTTTTTCTTCTTAGCTGAAAATACTGCTTGATCAAGTTGAAGAAGCAGTGGCAGATTTTGATGAATGTATTAGATTAAGACCTGAGTCAGCTCTGGCACAAGCTCAGAAATGTTTTGCATTGGTAGGTTCTACTTTATTTTGTGTTTTCCTAAACATCATTTCTATTTCCTATTGTTAACAAAAATAAGTATCTCATTGTCTACAAAACCATCATCTCTTTTTCCCCCAAAGGATGACTACAAGGGAAAAATGTGTTTAGGGTAATAGAAGTGTATTTGCTAAATGAGGAATTAATTGCTTCTGTATTCCTCTGGATGTTTTATTTGAGTTCATCTTGATAGATGTTTCTCCCTGATTTCATGCTCCCCTAAACAGCACTGTTCTCCCTGCTTTTCTACCATAAGCTAGCACAAAAAAACAAAAGCATTTTGAGGAAATACTCTTCAGTCATACCACATAACTGCTCTCTCATCTCACCCTATTAATATTCAGAAACACAAAGCTGAAAATCAGGTAAAATAAATTCATTTTTAGTGAAATGAGGTACTTCCAGTTAACCCTATAGCCTGAGTCCTAAAAGACTTTTTAAAGAAATTGGTCACGAGCACATTTATATTATGGATAAAAATGTTATTAGGTGAAGCTTAATAGTAACTTTGGTAAAGTAATAAATTATATTAGATTTAATATGCATTTATATGCAAAGTTAACTTCTTACAAGTTAGTATGCCTTCTTCTAGACTATTGAACATCTTGAAATTGTATAATGGCAATGAAGTCATAGTTGTACATAGCCTATGGATCCCTGCTCTGGAGATATTTCCTTGGAACCCTTTTAGATGCAGCAAATTAGGTTAACAAATCACCTGCTTTTCTGGAAATATTTATGTTATTTTGTGTGACTTTTGTAATATGTTAAATTCCATGAGGTTTTGAGTTCTTGATTTGACAGGACTGTTTTGATTTTTTTTAAACAGTATCGCCAGGCATATACAGGAAACAATTCTTCACAAATCCAAGCGGCTATGAAAGGTTTTGAAGAGGTCATAAAGAAATTTCCAAGGTGTGCTGAAGGCTATGCACTATATGCTCAGGTAAATGTGATTTTTCCTATTTTTTCAGTTGGCAGTCCTTTTTTTTTTTCTTAAGATTGTATTTTATTTTTTAGAGGTGGGGGAGGAGCAGAGGGAGAGGGAGGAGAGAGAGAATCTCAAGCAGGCTCTATGCCCAGGAGAGCCCGATACAGGGCTTGATCTCACAACCCTGAGATCATGACCTGAGCCAAAATCAAGAGTTGGATGCTTCGCCATCTGAGCCACACAGGCACCCCTTAAAGATTTCATTTTGAAGTAACCTCTACACCCAACATGGGGCTCAAACTCAGCCCCAAGATCAAGAGTTGTGTGCTCCACTGAATGAGCCAGCCAGGGCCCCAGTTTCCAGTCCTTTTAAAGAACTGCATTTGTATGCTGAATTTCAGTATGGAAATTAGAAAACAGTGCTTCCCTGGTTGCAGCTTCTGTGAACACAAATGGTTTTGTTCCGATTACAATTCTCCTGCCTCCAAAATGGTGTTTTGAATCACCTTAGGAGTGACTCCTATGTTAATACAGTTTGAAAACCCTGGCCCTAAACTCAGCGTGGGGAAGCTAAAGTCAAGCATTTCCCTCAAGTGTTCATTTGGATTGGATTTGCAGAAGTTAATTACCTTAGGAAAATTTACTCTGTGCAATTGGTGGGAAGAATGTCATGGGAAGGTTTTTCTTCCTGTTTAGATCACTGTCCTTTTGACAGGCTCATTTTAATTTCTCTGTGGTTTGCCAAATCCTGAACCTTTCCTTGCTTTAGGATTGAAGGTGTGGAAAGTAGAATGTACACTTAAGTTATTTTCACTTTTTAATTGTAGTCTAAAGTCTTTGAAAACTTACTAATTTTAAGTCATCCATTTAAATGAAAATGGTTAGCTTCTTATAGCCACAGACTTTTTTCTCTAAGTAAATGATCTCGGAATGACTGTTTTCTCTCTTAGTCTTTGAGAAAGTTGCTTTTGGTATATTCATAAGCCAGGTATCTCAGTATGCTGTATAATATCTTCTCTTACTCTTTTTTATTCCAAAGAAATGTTTTCCCCCTACCCCAAACATCACAGAAATAGGAAACATTTAAAAATGACCATCTGGGGCGCCTGGGTGGCTCAGTTGGTTAAGCATCTGCCTTCGGCTCAGGTCATGATCTCAGGGTCCTGGGACCGAGTTCCGCGTCAGGCTTCTTACTCAGTGGGGAGCCTGCTTCTCCCTCTGCCTGCCACTCCCCCACTCCTACTCTCTTTCTCTCTGACAAATAAAATTTAAAAAAAATAAATAAATAAAATGACCATCTGGGGTAGACACCTACCTTTCTGAAAGTTGTTTTGTTTTTAATTTCTTCCATGCATTCTTTGGTCGAGTTATAAGTACCACAGGGTATAACTTTTTTTTGAGCGGGATATGATAAGATTGGCTTATGTTGGATCTGTTCTTTAGAAGTCCTAATATCAGGTCACCTGGGGGGGCTCAGTCAGTTGAGCGTCTGACTCTTGATTTTGGCTCAGGTTATGAGATCAGGTCCTGTGTTGAGCTCCACATTCAGCGTGGAGTTTGCTTGAGATTTTCTCTCTCCCTCTGCCCCTCCCCCTGCTCGTGCTTTCTCTCTAAAATAAAATCTTTTTTTCTTAAGAAGAAAAAAATGTCTTAATATCACTGCATTGTTAAGAATTGAGATTCTAGGGTATGAAGTACAACCCAAAAATTCTTTAAATTGAGTTTGAAATGATATATTTGTTTTAAAATTTCTAGACAGAATGGTGATAATAAAAAAATGAAACACTGGTGGCTGACTACACACTAATTGTGAAAGCATGTGTGATGTAAAATTTTACAGAATGCATAGGAGTTAAAATAGGACACACATTATAATTGTAGGACATTTTTATTGAATAAGTACACTTGGGTTTATGCATTATGTCTGATTAGGAACAAACCAGAAAGTGACAGCACCATCCTCATCACTGAAATGAAATTCAGAAGGGTTTTTTTGGGGCACAGATTGCTGTAAGCAGCTAAAAGAGCAAAGGCCACTGCATAGCTTTTATTTTTTTTATTTTTATTTTTTTAAAGATTTTATTTATTTATTTGAGAGAGAGAGAATGAGAGATAGCACGAGAGGGAAGAGGGTCAGAGGGAGAAGCAGACTCCCCGCCGAGCAGGGAGCCCGATGTGGGACTCGATCCCGGGACTCCAGGATCATGACCTGAGCCGAAGGCAGCCGCTTAACCGGCTGAGCCACCCAGGCGCCCTCACTGCATAGCTTTTAAACTAATATTAGGTACAACCTCTTAAGAGCTTTTCTCATTGCATTTTTCCCTGTCACTATGCTGCCTTCAGAATAGCTATGGCTATCATCTTATCAGCACTAATGTTACTAGTCTAAAATTTCTATCCTTTGACCCCTCTTTTGATTTTTACTTCTGTATGTTACTTTATATATACACAAATAGATATACTGTAACTTTTTTTTTAAGATTCTATTTATTTGTCTGAGAGAGAGAGAAAGAGCACAACAGGGGGAGCGGCAGGGAGAGGGAGAAGCAGGCTCCCCGCTGAGCAAGGAGCCCAATGCGGGGCTCGATCCCAGGACCCTGGGATCATGACCTGAGTAGAAGGCAGACGGTTAACAGACTGTGCCACACAGGCGTCCCAAGTGTAACTCTCAAGCTTGAGCTTAGATGCTGGCCAAGTCTCAAAGTTAGGTTCAGTGTGAACTGGTATCCATATAAACAAGTGTTCCATTTCTGCCATGGGATTTGCCCTAAAATAGTTGACAGTAGCTGCTTTTTTTTTCTCCTATCAACATTTTTTTTTTCCTATCAACATTTTTAAGGAATGACTCTGATAACAGTTAACACATAACTGAATTTATTGTTCCAAATGAGTATTGTCTTTAAAATAAGTCCCTTATGACATAGTATGATAAATTATGATTAAGTGACATGAGTGTACCTGTGAGAAACTGATATTAGAACTGGCACCAAGAGTGGGACTTTCTCTGGTCTACACCATACCAGATCATCTGCTGTTGTATGTAACCATCTGACAAAAAGAAAGAACAGTTAAGATTTCATATTTATAACAATGCTTTGTAAAAAAAAATAATAATTAAGATGTAACATTTAAACTTGGTAATAATGGATAAGTTAGGTCAATTTTAATTAGTAAACAATATACTTTTAATTGCTTAGGTTGACAGTTACCTTAATAACTGAAGTATCTCCTCACATAGGCATTAACAGATCAACAACAGTTTGGTAAAGCTGATGATATGTATGATAAATGTATTGATTTGGAACCAGATAATGCCACAACATATGTTCATAAAGGGTATGTATATTTATGGTTCTCCGTTTCTGTAAGAAACTGTGTATCTTGCATGTAATAAGATGGACTTCTTCTGGTCATTAAGAAAGGAAGGGGGGACTAATAGAAAGTATCAGTGAGGTAAGTGACAAATTTCTTAATGTTGTAGATGCTTCATTGTTAATATTTAAAATTTTATGTTTCATTCTTATATAGCAGTTGGTAAATATACTGTTTTCACTCTACTTTTAAAGATTTCAGTTCTGAACATCCTGTCAAATGTTAGCTATATCAAAATTAGTTTTTCCAGTCCTTATGTACTTCTCATTTTAAAAAAACTTTATACAAAGTAAAAAAGTCAGCTTTGCAAGGTAAGTTAGTAATAGAGTCTAGACCTTTGGACACTTTTTTCATAATAAGGAATTTGGACTATAAAACCAATATATAATTGAAAAAAATGCTAATCTGATTATGTACTGTTTTAGATTGTTTTTCCTTGTAAATTCATTGAGGGCAGAAAGTGTGCTTGTATTCCTATTGATACTATGCCATAGTTACATCTGACTGCCTTGTTGCATTTGCAGTTTACTTCAGCTTCAGTGGAAGCAAGATCTGGATAGAGGTTTGGAGCTCATCAGCAAGGCTATTGAAATTGACAATAAATGTGATTTTGCATATGAAACCATGGGAACTATTGAAGTGCAAAGGTAACTTCTATAGTCTGTTCTAAGGAAATTTAAGGCAGCTCCATAGATACTTATCTTTTCATTCTTCTCTTTACAAAATATGTTGTCAGTATCCACTAAATTCTTAATATATTCATGCCTTTTGAAGGAAGCTTCCCTCAAAACTATACAACTTTGATTTGCCTTGTTTCATTTTTTCCTTTTGCATTAGAAAAGAAAATTTGATCTTTCTCTAATACCTCTTGTGTGTTCTTTCCTCTTTTCACCTATATTATTTCTGTTGGAGGAAAAAATACCTGCAGTGTACTTAGGCAGTGCAGTGCACCATAAGGATTCCTGCCAGAATACGGGAAGATCTAGATTCTGCTACAAATAAGCAACCAGCCAATTAACTGGACACGTTGAAACATCATCCCTGAGCCCATGAGTTTTCTTAAAAGTCAGGGAGCTAGATAAGATTTTTTGCAACTTTCACTGCTCATAACCTCTTGTTTTGTGAAAATATTTATCCAGAGTTGCACTTGGGAGCCGCCATTAACAGGACTACTGTTTATGCCATAGAATTTAGTGTCGTATACCATCTTAATACTCGCATTGCTGTCCATTTGAGTACTCTAGGCTAGGTATTGAACTTTGGGTATTTTTCCAAATTTTATTTCAAATGATCTTTACCCCAGTCCTTATAAAGGTAGGGATTATATGATCTTTAGTTTAACTGAAGAATGTAGAAACTGATGCCCAAACTGGTTAACAAAGTTACATGACGATCCAGTAGTAGGAATAGGATATTAGCCCCTATATTTCACTGTTGCCAAGTTAACTGATCTTGTTAGGAATCAATAGGGATTGTCTTAACTCCCTGTCATTCAGCCCCTCCTGGGTCCTCTCTTTGCTCCATAGTGGGCAGAATATATATATATAGGCTGATGAAATTTGTGACAATTACATGTAAATATTATTTATTTGCCAGTTAATGTGAATATTCTTGCACTAGGATAGGATGGGATACTGGTTCTTAATCTTTTTTGAGGAAAGCTATAGTTATTTGTAGAGCCTGGGTTAAGAACGCTGATATGCATTTTGATGGGTTTTCTTGGTATATTAATTATACTTTAAGGAATCCATTCTAAATCCTGCCTTACAAATAAATGAATGAATGTAAATGAATAAATAAAATTGCTCATTATCCTAGGATTTAGCCAGTCTACTGTCTATCTAATAACCAAACATGAACTTTTTTTTTTTAAGATTTTATTTATTTATTTGACACAGAGAAAGAGATAGAGATAACACAAGCAGGGGAAGCGGCAGGCAGGGAGAAGGAGAAGCAGGCTCTCTGCTGAGCAAGGAGCCCGCTGCGGGGCTTGATCCCAGGATCTTGGGATCATGACCTGAGCCGAAGGCAGCTGCTTAACCAGCTGAGCCACCCAGGTGCCCCCCAAACATGAACTCTTAAAAGTTTTTTTTTAAAAAACAAGTCTTTCATGTAGCCATATATTGTGGTAGGAGGTTAAGTACAGTCACCCCAGAGGTCCGTTGTATTTCTTGAGTTTAACTGCATACATATAGTAGGAACTTTATAAGTATCTATTGTAAGATTACAGGCAGGTCTGCATATATACATGGGTAAGACAACTTAAAACAGCTCTTGCTTCTTGGCAAATATGTAAACCCTAACCACATCTAGACTGTGAGAGGTAAATTTATTTTTTTTTGACCAAGCATATTCATCTATTTACTCAAAAAACAGATACTAATTACCAGGCATTGTACCTAGGATCTGGGAATGGAGAAGTGTCTATTAAGGATGTAGTAAGAATATGAATATATATTCATCTGACTTGTATAGAATGACAATATGTCTATGGGAAGACTGGGGACAGAAGGGGAAGATACTTTTCATGAAGATATTGTATTTGAACTGAGCCTTAGAACAGTGAGGGTTTGATTATAGAGTCAGGCAGAGATGCCATAAATCATCTGAGCATTATATGTAGGTAGGAGAGCCAGGGGCCCCAGGGAACCTGTGTAACCGGAGCAGAGGTGCATGGGGCGGGAGTATGGTGGTAAGAGATGAGGGGAAAGAAGCGGAGTTCACACAGATGTGAAGGTAAGGCCCCTGAATACTGGTAATGTTCTCTGAGGTTATGTCACTGCTTTCTAAAGGAGCCTTATGATGTAGTATAGAAACACAGAATTTAGGAACCAGACAGGATTATAATTTTAAATAAGTCATTTAATTTCTCTAGTCTCACTGTTCTAATCTGTAAACAAAGACTACAAAAGGTATAAGTACACAGTATTTATAATAGTAGCTAATATTCATTGAGTGCTTCCTATGTGCTAGGCACTATTTTGTTTCTTATACAGAAGCATTTTTTTAGAATCATAAAACTGGGTGGTCAGAAACGTCATTGTAGTATATGGGTGGTTCAGTGGTAGAATTCTCGCCTGCCAGAAACATCATTGTATTCTGTGAAATGCTTATTGGTTGTGAAACATTTAAAATTGTTCTTTTAGAGGAAACATGGAGAAAGCCATTGACATGTTCAACAAAGCTATTAACCTGGCCAAATCGGAAATGGAGATGGCTCATCTGTACTCACTCTGTGATGCTGCCCATGCCCAGACAGAAGTTGCAAAGAAATATGGATTAAAACCACCAACGTTATAAAATGGGGGGGGGGGCAGGGAGGAGAATGACCCTCTTTTTAGAAGTCTACTCCCTTTTCAACTGAACCCTAAAGACACTGTCATGAACTGTGTTGAATGGTGGAACTTAGTATTTGTGCTGTTGTCATTTGTTACATGTTTCATGTTTAGGTGTTGTGGGAGTGGCTGTTGAAGGAAGTTTGCAGTGTTGCAGCTTTTATTCCCTGTGCAACAAAAGCTTAGAACCTGTTAAAGGGATATTAAAGTTGCAAAGAGTACAGATGATAATTGGCCATGCAAATAAAAACTTTGATTTGTTGATTTGACTTTTTTTTTTGGAGGTTGGTGGGTTATGTTCTGGATGATTGTGTGATTGTGTGTGTGTGTGTGTGTGTGTGTGTGTGTGTGTGTGTGTGTGTGTAATGTATTTTACAGCATGTGGGTTTTTAAATTAACATAGTAAGTGCTGTAAAATAGGTTTCTTTTGGATTCAGTTAATCCCTTTTAGTTTTTTGGGGTTTTTTTTTAAGAAAACAAAACTAATGGGGATTTTGTTTTAAAGGTAGCAAAACAGACCCTTTAAACCACTGTCAGCATGCACAATGCCTCTGATTCTGCAGAAGGTTAGATTCAGTGGGAACTTAAGCCTTTTGACCCCATTCAACTCCAGTGGATAATGTACATTGTTCTTAAAAGTCCACAGCAGCTGGCTTTCATACAGTAAATCACACCGAAGCAAAATACTCTGGTATATATGCTGGAAGACTGAAAATTAATAGGAGAGTAACCAGGCAAGAGGTAAGATGAAATAGGAATGGGTTTGTAAATTGCCTGTGGGTATTTTCTCTATTAGGTACACTATTTAATAGTGTATTTTTGAAAGAAAATTCAGGTTGATTGTGTGTATAAAGATGAAGTGTGATGTGTGGGAATGTTTAATTAGCTTAAAATTTGTAGTGAAGAAAATGTGATTAAAGGTTCCAAAAGGATGTAAGTCTTGGAGCCAGAAGCATAGTATTTCCTGAAGTGGTTAAGTTTAGTGCTTTAACTATGGCTACATGTGCTTAAAGAATATTAAACGAGTATTTTCAAAGGTGCTGAGGAAATGTGGAATGCTTTTTAGTTTTGAACTAACCTTGTTCTCTAGGGCCTGACTGCCCATGTCCAGGTCTTTACTTAGGAATACTAACAGATTTTTTTTCCTTACTTTACCTTTTTACTTAGAAATCACTTGGGGTTTGTTTGTTTTTCCAATTGTCACTTTTATAGACCATCCTTTTGTTTATATGCTGGATTTTTCTGGTGGGAGAGGGGTTGTGTTCTTAAGGTATCTCTTGTTTTGAGATATTTGGGGCTGGGAAGGGTTTATTTAAGTCCTGAGTATAATAAAAGAGCAAGCAAGCCTTCGGTTACACTTCTGGAAATGAGATCTAAGAGTTTGCATTTGGGGGGAGTAAAGGAACATTGTACCCCTCTGTAAGAGGGTGCTTTATCCTAGTGAAGTCAAAAAGGTTTTTGTTTGCAAGTGCTATCGATCTTCTTAGAAACTATAAGAAATGACCCCTTCCAAAGTCAGAGTTTGGAAAATATTGAGGAGGCCTCTAGCGGGGACAATTTAAGATGGCTTGGATAACGGAAAAGTTTGAGAACTCTCCATTTTAGTTCTTAAATTATGTACCAACTATCATAACCCCTGAATACAGAAATGTTCTACATCTCTGAATAACCTCTGACTTAAAGTTTTTATTTGCATGGCTGTATTAACACTGGTATTTTCTTCTACTGTTCTCCCTTCTACCCTTTGGGGTTGGGTAGAAAAACACGAAGGAAACTGAAGCATGTGCCATTCAATACTATCATTCCAAATCCTCATGGACTATTGCTTGTTCTGAAAAATATTTGAAACTGCACTGAAAGCTGCATCTGTCTGTATCTTTTCTTTTGTAAATGACCTCACATGTAAATTCACCAAATAAATATCACATTCAAGCTTTTCTATCTGTTCTTTAAATAAGATAGGTAGTTTATTCATTTGTCATAGTACAGAGTAAAACCATAATCATTCTCTTGTGGGCTCAAACTAACTGAAAATAGGTCATGTTTAGTATATGAAGCAGAGTAAGTTTTTGGTGTGAATGGTGGAGTTCCCTGAGAACATTTGTCCTTCCTACTGGTGAAACAAAGCTCTAAGAAGAGCTAGCAGAACCAGCTTCCTTTATTTCTACCTGTACTTGCCTTACCCATGCTTGCATGGCAGCCTAGAAGTTTGCCAACCAGACCTGAGCCTTGAGACTAACATGATCTTCAAACTGGTTTCACCAATGAGTTTTGATCACAGTTTGCAACCACTCTGTAGTGTTTCAGAAGGGATGCCTGAAGTTATCTACCCTTTATTAATTGAGGTATAAATAGGGAATACATCCCAAAACAACAAGCAGCAGCTTTGCTTTTAAAACAGTTCAGACAGAATTTCAGGCCTCTGGAAACTCAAATTGTAGTTTAAAGTGTCCCAGTACATCTCAGCTAACTGTCATCATCTTAAGGCTGTTTACAAACATGAGGACCGTATAGTTTAACAAAACAAGAAACTTTTGAGTATAAAAGTAATAAGACCGTCCTGGGTACACTGGGTTCTTTGCTATATTTATAAGGAAATAACATAGAAGGGGGAGCAATTAATCCTAACCTCAGTCCTCTGTAAAACTGATTTGTGAATAAAGTGATAGAACTTTAATAATGATCTATTTTCAAGCCTTAACATACTGTGATAGAATGATATTGGTCCCATGAAAGATAGATGCCCACATCTTGATCCCTGGAACCTGTGAATGTTAATTTACATAGCAAAAATGAACTTTGAACATTTGATTCAATTAATGATCTTGACATGGGAAGATTATGCTGGATTATCTGAGTGAGCCCCAAATGTAATCCCAAGTATGCCTGTAAGAGAAATCATAGAAGAGAAGAGGATGGGATCACAGGGAGAGATTGGAGTGATAACAGCCACAAGCCAAAGAATGCTGGCAGCCACCAGAAAACATGACAAAGTACAACATCCATTCATGACAAAAACTCTCAACAAAGTAGGTTTAGAGGGAACATACCTCAACATAGTAAAAGCAATTTATGAGAAAACCTACAGCTAACATTCAATGATGAAGAACTCAGAGCTTTTCCTCAAAGATCAAGAACAAGACAAGGATATCCACTCAATACTTCTGAGTGTCCAGCACAGTACTGGAGCCCTAGCCACAGCAAAAAGAAAAGACATCTAAATTGGAAAGAAGTAAAACGTCACCTTTTTGTGGATGGCACCATACTATATACAGAAAACCCTAAAGACTCCACTGAAAAATGACTAGAACTGATAAGTGAATTCAATAAAATTGTGGGACACAAGATCAACATACAGAAATGTTGCACTTCTATACACTAATAATGAAGTAGCAGAAAGAAATTAAGAAAACAGTCCCATTTACAATTGCATCAAAGAGAATAAAATAGCTAGGATTAACCTTAACCAAGTAGGTGAAAGACATGTACTCTGAAAACTATAAAATGATGAAACAAAATGGCAGAAATAAGTACTCCATGTTCATGGAATGGAAGAACCAATCTTGTTAAAATGTGCATACTACCCAGGGCAGTCTACACATTAAATGCAATGCCTATCAAAGTACCAACATTTTTCACAGAAGTAGAACAAATAATTGTAAAATTTGTATGGAACCCAAAAAGACTGAATAGCCAGAGCAATCGTAAGAACAAAACTGGAGATGTATCACAATCCCAGATTTCAAATTATACTACACAGCTGTAGTAATCAAAACAGGATGGTACTGGCACAAAAACAGTCACATAGATCAATGGAACAGAATAGACAACCCAGAAGTAAATCCACCCTTATATGGCCAATTAATCTACGATGAAGGAGGCGAGTATACAACATGGAAAAAATAGTCTCTTCAATAAATGGTGCTGAGGAAAATGGACAGCTACATGCAAAAGAATGAAACTGGACTACTTTCTTACACCATACACGAAAAGAAACTCAAAATGGATTAAAGATGAGACCTGAATGTGAGACCTGAAACCGTAAAACTCACAGAAGAAAACAGGCAGTAATTTCTTGGACATTGGCAATCACATTTTTCTAGATCTGTCTCTTCAGTCAAGGGAAAGCAAAATTAAACTATTGGGACTACATCAAAATAAAAAGCTTTTGCACAGTGAAGAAAACCATCTACAAAACAAAAAGGCAACCTAAGTAGGAGAAGAAATTCACAAATGATATATCCAATGGTTAATGTCCAAAAATAGACTTATACAACTCAACCCCCTCAAAAACAAATAATCCACTTAAAAATGGGCAAAAGACCCGAATAGACATTTTTCCAAAGACGACATACAGATAGCCAACAAACTCATGGAAAGATCTCAACATCACTAATCATCAGGGAAATGCAAATCAAAACCACAATGAGCTACCACCTCACACCTGTCAGAATGGCTAAAATCAAAAAGAGGAAATCAAAAGTGTTGCCAAGGATGTGGAGAAGAAGGAGTCGTCCTGCCCTGTTGGGAATGCAAACTGGTGTAGCCACTGTGGAAAACAGTATGGAGTTTTTCTCAAAAAATTAGAATTACCATGATACAGTAACTCCACTACTGGGTATTTACCAAAGAATACAAAAACATTAATTTGAAAAGATACATGCACTCTATGCTTACTGAAGCATTATTTACAATATCCAAATTATGGAAGCATAATTTATTCATTGATAAATGAATAAAGAAAATGTATATATATACAGTGGAATATTACTGAGCCATAAAAGAATGAAAGCATGCCATTTGCAACAACATGGATAGATCTAGAGGAACAACAAAGAAAACAGAGACAAACCAAAAAGCAGACTCTTAACTAAAGAGAAATAGTTACCAAGGGGAAGGTGGGATTTGGGAGGCGGAGGGGGGAAAAGATGGGAGAAATAGGTGAAGGGGATTAAGAGTATACTTATCATGATGAGCACTGAGTAGAGAATTGTTGAATCACTATATTTTTACACCTGAAAGTAACACTGTATGTTAACTATATTGGAATTAAAAAAAAAAAAGATGCAGTATATATATGTGTATGGACGTGTATGTATGTAATTCCACACAATGGAATATCATTCAGCCATAAAAAAAAATGAAATCTTGATATTTGCAACAATATGGATAGACCTAGAGGATATAATGCTAAGTGAAATAAGAAACACAAATAGCATGATTTCTCAAAAGATAAGAGATTAATAAAAAAAAAAAACATTCTTAGAGA